GAGAGAGGAACAAATTCCATCTCACTTTCCCTGATTCTACCTCTGGGGTGGGTAGGTATACAGGAAGAGTAACATTAAGATGACTACTATAAATATAGTGGTTAAGAGCCTGGGTCCAGAATGAGAAAGGTGCATATTGAATTTACCTGAATGCAACTAGGCAGACTCAGGTGAGCTGATTCTGCCCACTCCTCTGCTCAAATTTTGAATGTGGTTTTGCAAAAACAGTCAACCAGTTGTCCCCACAGTTGGTCTTACTTTCCATGTCACTCTAATATGGCCAATGAGCCAAGTGTGATTTTAGTGTTTAAAGTATTTTTTTTTTCCATACAGTAGTCCCTAAATGCAATTCAGGAGGCTCACTGGGTACTCATGCACGGGAAATAGAACCGTGTTGGACTTTTTGAAAGACTCCCTTGGTTTTTAAAAGGGTACTTTCCTAGAGGGTTTTCATATGTAGTTTTGGCTGAACAAGGTTTTGCCTTACTTTCAGCCTTTAGAATCCAACCGCAGTATTAATGAGTCACCATACTAGTTATAACCATGGCAAATTATTTAGTATCTCTGAGCCTACGTCCCCTTATTCTATATACACTATAAGGTTGTTGTGAGGATAAAAGGTGACATAAAAATGAAATATGTGCCAACCTTCCTCATAAACAGATCCCTCATGCATCTGGAATTTCTGTGTCTGGTTGATTAGTGGGTGAATGTGTACCCGCCCAAAAGAAAAACTCTAAAATAAATCCTTTTAAGATATTTATTTTTGAAAAATATTTCAGGTGATATCATGACATTAGGATGCATTCACCTTTACTGGTTCACCTAATATATCTCCAGGCAAGCTTTAGGATACTGCACTGACAGAGCGGATGCTAGGACTAGGATGAAAAGACCCGTGAGGAGCAGGACTCTGGGCACAGGCGGGAGGCATCCCAGGCTGTGCCTCTATTGCCTGGCGAGCCATGCACCTTGGCTCCACGGGTCGGTGTGCGTGAGAATCAGCCTCTGCCTCTGCCCCATTGCGACCCCTCCCTCCGAGGCCCCACAAAGACCCAGTGCCTCCAGAAGCCTAGTCTGTCTTGGTACCCAGAGCTTCTCCATGAACCAGAAGGAGAGTTTTGGAACAGGATACAAGGATGAGAGACAAGCAGTAAACACAACACAAGTTAGCTTTGCTTTAGAGATTAGAAGAAACCCTGCAAGAACACCACTCCATAGGCTACGGGAACCCCAAGCGTGTTGAAATGACTCTGATGGCTGCTGCTCACCTCCCTGTTGCCTGATAATCCCCAGGTGCAAAGAGAGAAGCTAAAAGTGGCATTTGCAGGAAGCTCTGAACTAGGAGACTCCCAAAGAAGAAATAGTAGTACTAGTAAAGGTAGTTAATTCCAGGTATTATTATACATACATAACTCATTTCATCTTCCTATAAACTCCATGAGGTATATATTATTTTCATCCCCATTTTACACATGCAGAAATAGAATAAATTGCTAAGATGACACAACTATTAATTCTTGGAGCTGGGAGTTGAACTCAGCTTGTCTGTCTCCAGAGACCCTGCTCTTAATCTTAGGGGTCATCAAACTTTCCTGCAAAGGGCCAGCTAGAAAATATTGTAGGTTTTTATACATTCTCTCTTGTGTATTCACTGTTTTTTTTTTAAAACAATCCTTCAAAATTTTTAAAAACATTTTTAGCTCATGGGCTATGCAAAAACAGGCTGCAGGCCCATTTTGGCTTTATTGCTCATGTTGAGCAAAGGTTTAAGAACATGCTGGGTCCATCATTCCACATTCCCCTTGGGCAAATCTTGTATGCCTGTAATACTATTAGATTTCTGTTGATAGAGAATCTGCAATTCTGACTTTCTCACTCCCTCTTTGATTTTTTTACTGAATTTATGAGATTTGGTTGCATTCTCAAATTAGCCTTCCTCCTAACTAGTGATTTGATAGTTGGACATTTGCAAAGGGACTGTTAGAATTGAATAAGAGCTTTTCTTCCAGTCACTTTATCATTGGCTTTCTCTCTAGGGTTGCATTTCTGCATGTGGAAGTGAGGTTAGGCATTATGGTATTGGACTAGAGGCTATTCCTTCTTGGATTGACTAGACATAAAGGCATAGGTAAGATGCATTTTCTTTAGGCCTGTCACTTTTCTGAGAACCGACATTTGGGAGGTCACATTAATTTAGTGAGTTCTGCTAGTATAAATTTACCAGGAATCTGACATGTATTCCTTTATCATTTTCATTAAAGCTTAAAATGGTTTATAAAAGGACATGGTTCTTAAAATGGATTAATATCACAATGGAACGTCATGCTTTCTAGGTATCTGCTGTATGCTTGGAGATTCAAAATGTCATCACAGCTTATGTCTAGCCGAGACTTCTAGGGGGAGAAATCACAGTGAGTTATTGGACTTGTTCAAGATAAAATCTTAGACTTGCAAATAAATCCCTGTCAGTTTCTTCCTTTTTTAATTTATTTTTTAACATTCTCATGGTAAATAATACATAACTCAGACTCATGTAACATGTAAGGAAGCCATTGTTTTTGTTATTTCAGTGTGAAACTCAAAAGAAAATTTACAGAAGTGTTTTTAAATTATTTTGACCATAACCTAAGGTAAAAATTACACCAAAAAATTATATCATGACCTAGTACATATCTATACACATATATAAAACTGCAAAGTTACAGAGATAATACTATTCTGACTACATTCGAAGCATTTCTGGTATCTTCTATTCCACTTAATTTTTTTCTTTTCTTTTCTTTATCTTTTTCTTTTTCTCTCTCTTTTTTTTTTATACAGAGTCTTGCTCTGTCACCTGGGGCAGAGTAGAGTGGCATCATCATCATAGCTCACTACAACCTTAAACCCCTGGGATCCTCCTGCCTCAGCCTCCCAAGTAGTTAGGACTACAGGTGCACACCACCACGCCCAGCTAATTTTTCTTTTCTTTTTTTTTTTTTGGTAGAGATGGGGTCTCAAACGCCTGGCCTCAAGCAATCCTCCCCCCTCGGCCTCCCAGAGTGCTAGGATTACATCCACTTAATTTTTATTGCTTCTTCTGCTTTCAAAATTTATTTTATAACTCATTAATGGGTTTTGACTCACAGTTTGATAAACATTGCCTTAGAGGACCCAAATGTTCATACTGCCCATATTTATAAGAAGCGATTATTTTGAGGTTCTTGTGGTATCCTTAGAGCTTAGTTTGGTTTATTTGCTAAGAAACAACCACATGTAAGTCACTATGCTGGGCTTTGTGGGGAAAGAGTTATGTTTTCAACTAACTACGTCAAGAATTTTCTGAGGTGACAGAGAAAGCAGGATGAGCAAATGACATATCACCTCTGTGCTCACAGAGCTTATGCTTTAGTACAGGCGTCCTCAAACTACAGCCCATGGGCCACATGCAGGTGTTTTTGCCCGTTTGTTTTTCTACTTCAAAATAAGATATGTGCAGTGTGCATAGGAATTTGTTCATAGTTTTTTTAAACTATAGTCTGGCCCTCCAACGGTCCGAGGGACAGTGAACTGGCCCCCTGTTTAAAAAGTTTGAGGACCCCTACTAAAGTTTAGTAGATGAAATAAACTCAGAATTGAAGGAGTTTTGGAAGATGTCATTCACTGGAATAACTATGTTAAGTAAGTTAGCAGATTTATTAGCAATTTTGGGTAAAAGGTCCTTTCTTCTTATATAGGAGGGTCAGTCCCAGTTTTACAGATGAAAAAAAAAAATGGAGGCTTGGAGAGTTTAAGATTTATTTAAAGTCACTTCATTATTTGAAGTCCAAATGCAGGGTTATTTGTAATACACATACTGCCTCACCTGACCAAGTGGTTTTTATGCTAGAAATAAAGTGACTAGGGAGTTCAGAAGAGGAAGTGATGATTTAGGTCATATCATAAAAATATTGGACACTCAGAAAGCTCAGAAAGAACTTAAGCGGTCCCTTTGCCCCTCTGTTTTTCCTTCAGGAGAAGCCAATCTAATTATTCTTTTAAAAAGAGACAAACTAGGTCTTTTAAAGAGACTAGTGGTAACTTCTAGTGTTTCACAATCTTTTCTGAATAAACTCTTAAAATCTCTCATTTGGAATTTTACTCATCTAAGTCCTTATTTCAAAAAAAAAAAAAACAGGCAACAAATAAAAGCAAACATTTTCTCAAGGTTACCAAAGCAAGAAATCAAAGATCATCACCTCCCAGAGAGAATCCTTTATTCTTCTCATCACCAAGCATTTCATGAGCATTGACCCAAGAGATGGTGCCACGTAGAAACTCCACTTCTACTGCGTCTTACTTCTGGGAGCTGAAGTTTTCAAGTTGCCGCTGTGAAAGGTCATGTCCACTTCAAAGCACCATTCAGTGTACATCCTGATCCGTTAGATAGTTGTACCTTGGAGATTAGCTCCTGTTACAGACTTGCGGGTGTAACAGTTTTCTGTTTGGGAGAGTTGAAATTATGTGGATACGAAAGAGTGGTTGCAGTGAGAGAATAAGTAGGAAAAAATATTTTTAAAGCGCTGATCCTTGGACCAGATCTCTTGGCAGTTGTTCTGCGTTCAGAGATGTTTCTCCTGACCTTCAGGTCTATGGCAAACTCCCTGTGATACGTTCTTTGAGCTGCTCCGTGACCTCTTTTCTTCTTAACATTCAGCAAGAGCTTTAATTTTCCACTTATTTTTGTGACTGTGTAGTCCACGAGAGTCTCTGTCATTATAGAGCCCTCAGTAGACTGGGCTCCATAATGGTGGAGATTCTATTTCTACTTTATCCTGACTGCATCCAGCACTAAGTGCCGTGATTAATACACAATAAGTGTTCAGTACATCTTTACTGAGTGAATAAATTGGCATTTAAGGTAGTCTGACGTGTTGTTTCAAACAAGGTACTTTAGCTCAGTCTACGTTTATTATTTATTAGCTACTAAAGAGCAACTGATAATCACTTATGATATTCTTTGTTTTGTTGTTTTACAGTCAACTTTGACCACTTTGAAATTTTGCGAGCCATCGGGAAAGGCAGTTTTGGGAAGGTGAGAACCGACATGATTAACCACCAGCGGGGTAAGGTAGTGCAGGGGACAGAGGGCCCAAGAATGTTCAGGTTATTGAGTTGCTGGGACCACAAGGAGCCATAATTGCATGAAGATGTTTTCATAACAGGTTTTTATAACATTGTCACTACAGTTTGAGGAAAGTGTGTGGAAGGCAGCTACATAATGTACGTACACTATTCTCCAAATGATCTCATTGAGGTCAAGTCTGTTTACTCTCACTAGAGTTTAAAACTTTTCTCTCTACCCTAATGAAGATTAAGATTTCAGAATCATTTTTAGAGTGTACCAGCTCTACCTCCTGTAATCATTATCCTGCCAAGGGAAGAGTTAATTCTTTTCATGTGGGAAAGAAGCCACTGAATTCTATTTCCTTTTTCCCATTTGTACCATGTTTTTATCTTCAAAAACCTACTGTGAAAAATATATATATTCAGTCTGGCTTTTATTTTTTTATAAGAACCTTCTGGATTCAAACCCTGATTATTAGTTTCTCAATAGAGGCATACTTTGAGAGAGTAACATTTCATATTTAATAGTAAACTTACATTTTAAAATCATCTGCTATCTATTTTATTAGATATTATATTGGCCTTTAAAGAAATTTCAAAAACACAGACGTCATATTTAGTGTTTTCCTAGTCCTTAGAGTCCTTTTTGGTTATGTCACCTGTGATGGTAAACAAAAATTCTTTGCACGATATTTTTCCACTTAACAGTATACTCGTGTCCATTTCAGTCACTCAAAGGAGGATTAAGGATGTTATTTGTTATTGGAAGATTCCTGACACGGAGGCAGCTATTTTCTCCAAAATGCTATCTGAAAATCTCAAAAAAGCAAATACAGGCAAACTTGTTTGAGAAAGCAGAGATTCAAGAACTGAACTGGTATATAGGGAAGAAAATGAAATTTCTATTCTGAAATTAGAGTGAAGTGGGAACTTAAACATCAGAGAATTTGCATGTGATAAGCCACCAAGCCACAGCAAAGAGCAAGTCCTGTTCTGTCTCTCATCACCATGATCCATCACCTCCCCTAATCACTTTCTCACTCATGTCTTCCCCGTTAGGTCTGCATCGTACAAAAGAATGATACGAAGAAGATGTACGCCATGAAGTACATGAATAAACAAAAGTGTGTGGAGCGCAATGAAGTGAGAAACGTCTTCAAGGAGCTCCAGATTATGCAGGGGCTGGAGCACCCTTTCTTGGTTAATTTGTGGTAAGTGGTTTGGCCATCTGAGTAGAGACGCTCCCATCTTCGTCCCCAAATACTGTTACATAAACACATCTTGATTTCTAGGTGTGCATTTGCAAAACACGCATTTGGATCTCGCTCCAGGGCTTTTGTTCTCCTCCGTTTCTTTGGTGTTATAATGAAATAACATTTTTTTATTGTCACCAATAAATACTCCTTGGTTCAGTTGTCACAGTTCCCCTTGTCCTTGAGGTATTTTTTTTTTTAAGCATTATAATTAAGTGGGCTGCAAAGGAATGTGTTCAGGCGTCTTCTCACTCATTATTTACTTTTTCTCCATAATCTATGGAGGAGGGACTTTGGGTACAAAGTATGGTCTCACTGGCTGACATGAGGTCCATCTTTAGAATTTGTACAAAGCACTTTCTCCTTAAAATAATTGGCAATAAATCTTGTTTCTTCGTAGCATGCTTCTTAAGCACCAGGTGTATATACCTGGAAGTTAGAAAAGGACAGGTGCTTCCTTTCTCACCAAATAGGTTATAACAGAGCTGGAGCTAACTTTTGTCAGAGCCAACTTTCGCAGTCATTGAGACATTATATGACTGTGATCTGTTCACAAAGCCATTACCATAATCCAAAGCATAGAAATGGCAGAGGAGTTTGCAGTATCTCATACCCCCTGCTCTTTTCTTGTGTGCTAAAGTCTTTATGTGTCACCTTCATTTTGCTTTACATTTTAATGCAGCCATTATGTTAAGAGCCAGTTCTTAAACCTAATTCAAGATGACTGTTATTTAAATATGCATACCAAGCAGTTCTGACTTATCAGCCAAGGCAAAAAAAAAAAAAAAAAAAGGTCTTTATCCAGTGAATGCTAATGGAAACATAATTGAGATTTCACTCTATGATTAGGGACATCCTTCTGGAGGAATCAGTGCATAAAAACCTGCCTCCATCCGTCTTTAATTAATGCAGTTCACTTAATATACAGTTTACTCAAAGCCTCTATGTCGCAGTTGAAAAGAAGATGGTTCTGTGTGACTTGGAAATAGGTCTATTATGGTTTGTGCACTACGCAGACATTGTAGAGGCTCATTTTGGCTGCGGCTCCGTGTATTTAATCAGTGTCTCAGAGTGGCCTATTCAAAATGCTGCCATGTAAAAAGCTAAAATGGATGCAGCTCTCTCTTCCCCATCCTTTGCAATCATCAAATTGCCTTTTTCCTCTTCTCTTTCCACCCTGAGAATGACAAGGTGCTGTCACTTCACTGCCTTCCTTTGTTCAAAGTCACATGTTCCTTCATCGAAAGTTCAACCAACTAATTTTCTTTTTTTAAGACCAGGAATCTTTCATAAGGACATACTTAGCATTTTGTGCTTTCAAATTTGTCTCTCTTTGCTGCATGGGCAAAGTTGATTTCATTCTATTCCTATATATATATATATATATATATATATATTTTTTTTTTTTTTTTTTTCTTTTAACATGGGCATTAAGAGGCTTTAAGCTGGCCAAAGTTTAGAGATTTTGCTATCTGCTGACTTGATGTCATTCCAGACAACACTGCATTCTCCATGCGCACTGACCTGGTGACAGTATGTCATGTGTCTTGTTCTTTCCTTCCCACTTGTCACACTGAACCTCACAGTGGAACACTGGGCACCATTAACAGTGACAGAGGAGAGTCCTCCCCTCCCCCGGTGATTTTAGCTCCACACTCAGAACTGGAAACTGGGGAGGGGCCATTCTTAAAAGTACAGCAGAAAAACTCTTTTGCCTTTCGAACCTCAAGATAAAAATCTTTATTATTCTTTCTAATAAATGCTTTCTGCCTTAGTAAGTACAGCATAGTCAATGTTAAGTGAATCTTTCCACAAGTATTAAGCATCTTGCAATGCCTCTGAAGATGTTATTGTGAGTAACTTACTTTAGCATTTTAAGTCACATTGTTATAAGATAGGGTTTGTGTGTGTAACTTGGGTTGTTTTTATAAACAAAATGAGATCAAGTGCTGTGCCCAGTACCTAGCACAGAATAATATTTGTCTTACAAATATTAGTTCTTTCCATCCTTGCTCCATGATGGTGTAGCATTCTGAACTTGCCCATCACTGGTGGTCCATTGTAACTGAACGGTACTACCGTGTTTCCCCGAAAATAAGACAGGGTCTTATATTTATTTTTCCTCAATAAGACACCCTAGGGCTTATTTTCAGGGGACGTGTTATTTTTTTTAAGTACGGTACAACAATCTACATTTATTCAAATATAGTTAAGTCATCTTCTTCTGGAACATCATCATAACTCTCCAAACCCCGAATTCCATCCTGAATTTCTTGCGACTCTATTTCCTTTAGAAACATTGGCCCGAATCTCTCATGTTGAGCACTAGAGCTCTCATGGGGCAGATGAGAAGGGCTGCTCGTCTTCTTTACTGCTCTGCAACAAAATGCATGGGCTGTGCAGATGCGCTGCGTAGCCACGCCCATCACTAGGTCTTATTTTTGGGGTAGAACTTATATTGTGCAAATGCTTAGAAATCTTGCTAGGGCTTATTTTATGGATAGGTCTTATTTTGGGGGAAACATGGTAAGCCCCAAGATATCATGGGAAGATAGGCAGTGTAGGGGGGGAGGGGGGAGGTACTGTTCAACTAATTCTCTGTAAAAGCATATGTTGTTTGTTTTGTTTTGTTTTCCACCCTTATTCTGCAAATCAATCAATCAAACAAACATCAAAGATTCCTCAATATATTGGATACAATTTAATCAAGATTTTATATCCTGGGTTCAACTGTTAGATTTGTCTTCACATCCCTAATGACTCAGGAACTTAAGAAGCATTGTAAGATTTATAAAATAATAGCAATACTTGTTTAAATCCTGCTCCGTTTGTGTACTCTATTTTAGTCCTCTCAAGATTGCTTTCAATAATCTTCTCATCCGTGTTCAAAATGCCCCTAACCTCTGTGGGTGTAGCTGGAAAATTCCAATTTTTCAGGCTAAGGGAAAACACAAATCGTTTTTCTTTTAAACAAGTTTTATGCTAATGTTAAGAAGTTTGCACGTGTGTGTATGTATGTGTATAGGTATAAATATATATATGTATGATACTTGAAAACTTTTCTGCTCATTGCATTCAATTTGAAAAACAGAAAATTACCTGGAAAAATGAAAACTTTCCAATAGTTCTACCACGCAACCACTTCTAACATGTATTGGTGTGTGCTTTCCAGTAAAATGTCTGCATTTGGTTTTCTGTTTCTGATCACCTACTGGCCCCATTCATTCCTTCATGTATGTATATATTTACTGAGCATCAAAAACCAGTTATAAAATTAGGTTGTTAGAGAACATACAGGACACACAGTTGTATGAGAATTTCAGACAGACAACTAATGATTTTTTAGTATGTTCAAGTAGCATGTGAGATACATTTTTACTGAAGGTTATTCATTGTCTATCAGAATTTCAAATTTCACTGTGCATCGTATATTTTTATTTGTTAAATCTGGCAACCCTCATTATAACAGAGACCCGTCCCGTGGGGGTGGGCAGGAGTGGGCAGAGCCCTGATTTGCCCAGCATTACCACTGACTGGGAGAGACCGACATTAACTAAACGGCATGTGGATATAGAAACTTCGAGAAGTGTACAGATGACTAATTATGAAGGTGTATGTGTGTGATGTGTGTGTGTACGTATCTATCGGGATTTCATGGAAAGAGGTTAGCTAGTCTGGGGGCAGGTATGTTAAGGGGGGAAGAACATTGGGAATTAAAATTCGACCTTACCAGCCTCCGGGGGACCTGGCCCGCTCAGGACCTGTCTTCAGATGTGGGCCACAGATCAATTGAAAGCTGCCAGACAGGGCTGCCGTCCAGGAAAAGTAAATAAAATCTTCCTCTGAGTCCCTCTCTGAGGGCTGTTAACAAAGCCCTGGCAACCCACAGCCTGAAAACAAAGAGGTCCCAGTCATTCCCAGCACAGCCGGTTCCCCAGGTGGCTTTTGCGAATTGAGATGAAGCCTGCAGCTGCACACAACTCCTCAGGGCTCTCTCTCTTTGCCAGTGTCCCTTGTCCCTGTGAATAGAAAGGGTCCACGTGTGGTTTCAGGAAATTAGGAGACAAGATCGTCCATTTTAAGTGGAAAGGACAGTGCAGGGAGTGTGACAAGGGGTCCTTTCAGACGCTGAATACAGCCCAATAAATGGGAGCAACCTCCATCATCTGTGACCCAGAGTGCCCATATTTCTTCATGGGATCACAGACCATGAGAACTCAAGGTCACCTTCAGAGGCACAGTGTCAATAATAATAACTTCCCTTTTAATGGTGTCTTATTACTTGGGTTTTTGTATATATCACTTCATTTATTCATCTAAACAATCTTGGTTGATGGGGATTATTATCCCCTTCCACATCTGAAGAAACTGAGGCTCAAAGAGGCTAAGAGATTTTCCTTAGAGTCACACAGCCAAGAACTGGAAGAGCCGGGGCTCAAACCCAAGAATCCTGACTTCAAAGCCCCTGATCTTTCTGCTGCATTATACCATCCCCTATAGACATCTTGTGAGCTCCCTTACAAAATATGTAAGGCATCAGGGATTATTTTGTTTATTGTTCTTTGCACTCCACAAGAATACAAACTCTATGAGGCAGGTATGTTTGTGTGCTTTTCATCATTGCCTCATTCATTCCCCATCGTGTGCAGCAGTGCCTAGCACACAGTAAGTATGCTCGCTGAACCACAGGTGGCTGTTTCCAATCCCATCAATGACCCCAACTCACCAACTGAGACTGGTCTTTCTGCAGTCAGTCTGTGACTGCCATGGAGCACAAAAGGTATTGACTTCGGATGTTGTTCTCCTTTCCTGGACCCCTGATTAACTTTATGGGTAAGAGTCTGATTTAATTGTCCCTGATTTTATCTGAGCATGCACCTTGGCTTTCACTTTTTCATGGGGAGCAAGGTGTTGTTATTCCCCTTGGCCTGTTTACTGCCTGTATTCTCTGAGGTAAC